GGTAGTGGTTTTGTGTGGTTTTAAGTATTTTCACGTTTTGTTATTGTTATTGCTTGTATCTGTTTAAGTCAATTTTTGACCCTTAACCATTGGAATTTTTTTTCTTCGTTTTTCGTGCACTTTTCTAGGATTCTAATTCATTCATTAACATTGCATCATGAAACAATGTTGTTTTAATTACATTTCTGCTGATTTCATATTGTAATTAAATTGTATTTTCCTTGAAAATTATTGCTATGAATTAGAAAAATAAAATTATGAAGAATTGTATGTCATCGTTATAATGAAAACATGCCAAAAACCCCTATTAAGGAGTCAATTTCATGTTTTTGGTAAGTGTCCCCTGAATAGGGGCACCCCAATTCAGGGGACACCCCTATTAAGGGGACACTTTTTTTGGTCCCAAAGTTGTCCCCTTAGTTGTCCCCACAGACTTAAACTCCCTTTTATTATAATTCTGAAATACATATTTTTGAAATGAATGATTCTATAATTAAAAACCTATACAGCATATGTCCTTAATTAGGAATGTAGTGTCACTCAGTGACTGTACATCTATGTATATATTCTATAATAATAATAATATCTCGAATTTATGGCGCCAATTCCAAACAAGATCAAAGGCGCAACGCATGTGAAAAGTCACCGGAAAACAAATAGGTCTTAAGCTGTGACTTAAAGTTGCAAATATATATTCTACTAACATAAACAAAAAAACCCAACTTGTTAATGAAATGTATTTACTTCACGTAAATGTACATTTTGTAAATCTACTCGCAATACAGTAATATTTTACTGCTGTGAGTTTTGATGATAAAAACAAAATGAATGAATGAATGAATGAACAAGTACAGTATATAAGCACAGTAATATAGATCTAATAATTATCATGACAATGATAATAATTCAATAATGCCAATGGTGTGGATAATGGATGATAATAAACATTATTTACAAACATTATTGTTGATATAAGGAAATGGGACTTGTTTTATATAAGGCATCACAGTAATTAAAAAAAAATACAAACAATATCTGATAATTTTTACTATTGATTATAATGTTACCATGTTACTGTGTTTCATCATCGTTTCAGCGTTATGACCATTATACCACGAGGCTTCATGGTTGAACAGATTCAAATACCACCAGATACACTCCATTACACAATAAGTACGGTTAGAAACAAATAGTTGCATAAAGTTTAAATCAAGATAGCACGCTCGCCTTGACAGAGAGCGGTCGCAGGTTTCTTTATTCATTTGTTTACAGGACTACATTCGTTGAGAGCTATGCTACACGATGTATTATTATGTCCTTTATTCTAACACTGTATTTACCTTTCTTTGATGATTTATATATACATATTTTATTTATTTCTTTATTCTTTATACTATAAAACCTGTTCAGTAGGATATATATATATATATATATATATATATATATATATATATTTAAAAAGATATATATTCTTAGTTGATGAGCAGGCCTAATATAAAGGGTTTCAAGTCTGTGGGTGTTCAACCATACTCTTTATTATGTACTCAGTAAGACTTGTCGGTGTTGCGTTATGCCTACTTAACGGCACACGAGCCTTGTATATATCGCATAAACCCTGCAAACAGACTCCTATAAATATTTATGAGATCAAGGAGGCGTTATTTGATCTATAGCGCCACCAATCGTCAATGTCTCAAACGTCCAGAAAAAAAAAATCGCTCGCCGGAAGCGAATTTCTTTATCGTAGGTAAGTTTAGCAAAAATTCTTGAATTTATTTGAGTGTCTGAAGGCATTACTAGCGCATGCGCAATCTCGCCTCGCTGAACCTACTGTATTTTGCTGCAGTCTTCCGACCGCAAACACAACAATTGTAAACTAGCTTGTTGATAACTGCTTACATAACTAAACCAGCTCTTCCTTTACCGTGCCTCAAAGAGGAGCTGGTTTTATATAAGCAGACACACCGCAGAAAGGAAAAAAGCTTACACTATTTTTTAATAATATTTTCATTTAATCAATGGCGAAAAGTAAAGTTATATACTGTACCTTGTACAATAATAGGTCAACATTCTCGACTAACATAAAATCAACTAAAATGCTGACCATACAAGAAATTACTGTATGCAATTGTATTTGCAACTAAAATAGGTTTATCTAAAAGCTTCATTATGCTATACTTGGAGTTGCACTGGAATAAGAATACATCAGTATCAATTCAAACTTAATAACGAACATAGTATACATTTTGTAACATAAAATAGTGACAATTACACATATGACAATATGTGAAAATGGGGTGCCAGGAAGGCCAGACCTTATGACGATGGGAGCACCCAGAAAAGGAGCTACAGAAACTCTCAATGTCTTTGTTCATATAGTAAGTTACTTTAGTCCTTTCTTTTTTTCAATTTGAATTATACAGTATTAGGTCTGTACCTGTGTATGTGTAGCCGCTCGTGTCGTGTTCCATGCATATGAATAATGACAAACCCCTTCAGAGTTAAAAAATTCACCCAAAAGTCACAGATGTCCAGCTTACCATAAGGATTCTCTAAAGACTCCATGAGGAACGATTTTTACGATTTAGGCTTATTAATTTTTTTCCCCAAAAATGAATCATTAGACTAATATAATAATTTTTTCAAAGATATATACATAGGTATCATAAAAGGATAATAATAAGTTTAGATTGATTCGGCCTTCGAATGCTCTACTGAATATTCTGTTGATATAGTGCAGGTGCAAGGGAGAGAGGGGAGTCCCAAGCTCGATGTAGTATATAATATATATGGCCCATGCTAGGCCCCATTTATTTGTCCTGTTTACTGTATTTTATGTAAGCTTGCTTATAATGTATTACAGCCAATGGCGTAACGATGGGGTCGGGGGCCATGTGTATTTCTGAAACTGGGGGCCTTTTTTGGGCCCCGGTCACCAATTCCATCGTGGGATTTTAGATGTGTATTGTTATTCTAAATGTTTTTAACGACGAATAAATGATATAATATGGATCCAAAAAATTGAGGCCAGGGAGGGACTCTCACAGTTAGGTCAACCTCAGACCCACCAAGGTTGGAACTGAGGTAAGAAAATTTATGAATATGGCACCTTTAGATGGCCGGAAATGGCACTTCACAGACATAAAATTGTGAATATATATTTTTTTTTTATCTCCAGTTAAAAAATATAAAAAAAAAATTAGTGGGCCCGGGGCCGGCAGCTCCAGGCCGGTACCCCCCTCCCCACAACCCTCACTCTTTATTCCGCTACTTGATATAATATTTGTCCTACAGTCGATTTCACATTATGCTGTTGCCCTTGTGGGGCTGTTGAGAAAAGATAATGTATACGGTATTATTATGGCACGTCTAGATGGCCGAAAATGGCACTCACAGACTTAAAATTGTCTATATGATTTTCTTTTTATCTAATTTTTTTTAATTTGGTAGGGTCGCGGGCCAAGAGGGGGCCCGTCTTTAATCGTTATAATATTATATATGCCCTACAGTCGATTTCATAGACACATTATGGTGTTATTTATCAACAAAGTCCTCTTTGGTCAGGGTGCCAGATCGAGAAACCTGCGCGTAGGGCCCCTTCGGGGCCCCAAAAATTCGGTGGCCCTTCGTACCGCCGCATGAGAGCGAGTAGGCGTTACGCCACTGATTACAGCATGAGGAGGTATTACCACCCTGCACACAGTGAATCCCACATTAGCTCACCGCGACGTGAAAAAGCTACAGCTAGCAGTTCAGCGAAACGAGATTGCGCATGCGCTGACTTCAGCCACTCTAAATGAATAATTCATTAATTTTCTCAACTTACCTACGATAAAAAAAAGTGCACCTGGAATCGTAAGTAAGATGGGGAAGCATCGACGCTTGCAGCACTAAAGCGAATGGAAGGCTGTGTCAAACCATCTCTTCCTTACCCTCCTGTAAGGCCCAATCAAATTTCGCTGCGGGAGAACGAAGTGGATTGGGAGAAATAATGAAGGGTAGAGATTAGCTCTATCGCAAAAATATGGCTTTAGCAATAGCCCAGCATCGCGCCATCCAGAAGCTTTCTGAAAATGGGAAGATGAGGCAAACAGTTATATGTGTTCTCATAATCAGGATTACTGCTATCTTATATAGCGCCCTCCTTTGTTTTGTACAGGACCTTTTACTTTGATAAAGGTCATGAGTGAAAGGAGAATTGTGTTACACGAGTTGTTGAATAAATGCGGCAGAGTTGAATATTGATATCTCTGTATGATTCAGTTTGTTTCCGAAAACATCCGTCATGGCAGAAAACAACCCAACAGAAAATAATAACCTAACACAAACTTTAAAATACCCCACTAAAATTTGAGCAGGCGGCATAGAACAGTCGTTGGAAAGTTAACATCCTCTTCCGGAAAGATTATTCGCGAGCATGACAATACCTTTTGTGGCAGAAGGTACGATGACTGAGAAATAGCAGAGATTCAAGTGACAAAATGTAATATACTATAACTTGAGAGCACTCGGAGTGTGCATACCTTCACCCACATCATAATACTCCTCAGTATAAATTTCCCCCGCATATTGTCCCCTCCAAAAAAATAAATAATGGAAGGAAAAAAAAGTAGACCCTCCTTGGGATTTGAATCCGGGGCTGGCAGTATGAAAAACACTCTTCTAACCACTACACCAAAGTGTTTTCACATTATATCACTTTAAATAATGGTCATGCTTGTTTACACTTTACCGGCAAGACAACAAACACCTCCATTTAAGTTTGCTAATGCTCCAAAAGATATTGATCGTGCGCTAGTCCAGTAGCTGCACGTAGCATGTTGTTGCTCCTGAGTGATTTAAAAACATAAAAGCTTCCGATATTTATATTGACCTTTTTAAACTGCAATACTCGCCTTTAAAATGCAGTCCTACATTCTGACTCTGGTCGTCATATCAACGATATTTTTACGCTTTGTAAATTCACTTGAACCTGAAGCTTGTCTACCCCAATCGTACTCTAGCGATGAGCTGCTTCGCCTTCGGCCAGGAGCTGCCGGCATTCCGCCGAGCGATGACGTCAAGAACCTATGCATCAGCCTAGGCTGCTGGCGGAAAACTCATCGGGGTCGAAGGGCGGGAAAGCGAGTACACAAACATTCCAACAGGTGTACAGGTGCGAAGACACGGAATTCGCTCTCTGTGTGTTTGATGAATGCGAGATCTATTCGTAACAAGGCCGGTGAAATATCCGATTTTGTAGAGGAACATAGGTACGACGCCGTAATTATATGCGAGACTTGGCTTCATTGTGATGAAAAAGTAATTGAAACCGCTGTTACACCTAATGGTTACTCGTTTATTCATACTGCAAGGAAAGGTAAGCGAGGAGGCGGAGTCGGAGTACTGTTTAAGTCAAATCTAGGATTTGAGCTTGTTGAGAAACAAACTCAGTCATATGAAAGCTGTGAAGTATTGTCGAAGGCATTGGCCGTAAGATTCATTGCAATATACCGACCCCCATCATCTAATACTAACAGTTTCATTAATGAATTTGCGTCATCTTTGGATTATTATTTACACTCCAGAAGATCGACAATATATCTCGGTGATTTTAACG